TATATATATATATATATATATATACACACATTATATTTTTATTATTAAGTTACGGATACTGTATTGTCCCCTTCTGTCAAAGCTATGCATTTTCTGCTTCTAACCTTCTTTTCTTGCTGCACACATTCCACCAGTATTACTCATATTAATAGCTTTGTGGTGGTGTAATTTATTTATTTATTGTTGCTGCTTCTTTTAAAAAAAAGAAGTTATCTGGCTATCAATATTTAAAGACAAAAACGGGGAAGAAGCCCCTGCTAGTCTCTAATACAGATACATGACATTCACTGTTAAAGAATACTTTTATTGTTGAGGTCAGAAAAAATAACCCACCTCGGAGGCACTGGCTTTGGGGGCGTGGGCGTGGTGGAGTCTGGCTGCTTTGGTGCTGAGGGGGTGATGGGTTGGTGCTGCAGCTCACAGTCCAGGCAAGCAGCTGTGTGGATGCATTTATGACCATCGGTGCTTAATAAAACGTCCAGATTATCTTGGCCCGCTCAACTCGTGTTTTGGCTCCAGCCGCAGGGGAGAAAACGCTTCCGTGGCGTGATGGGAAAGGGCTGCTGGGTGCCAGCTGGAGCCATTGTGAAAGCGGCACATCTTTATGTAACACAACCAGGAAGCTGGAACGTGCAACAATCTGTGAAGCCGATTCTTCTGCCTCTCCCACTTTTTTACATCGTACTGAGCAAGAATATTTGCACAGAGGGGAAAAAAACCCACTTCCAATTATTTGTGTCACTACCAATCTCCCACCGTAATTCAAGGTTTTTTTGGGGGGGGGGCAATGCAACTAAGGGAGGCCTTTCCTCCCCTCCAAAGAGGCAGAGGTTGCCCTGTCATTGTCCCCTCAATTCCTACCTCTAAATATTGTCTCAGCATTTCTCAAGTTGGATGCAAAGACCATTCAGGTTTCGTGCTTCAAAGAGCAACCTTAGGAAGCAGCATTCTGGGAGATAAGAACGCCACACGTGATCCTCAGTTAGACCTGAGCAGCTGAAGAGAGAGGTCATAGGTGCCACTTTAGCTGGCCACACGTGACCCCACGTAGGCCCCTGCCAAGACAATTCAGACTTTTGGGTGCTGCAATAAGCCCCCTGTGCTACGTGCAAATAGTTTTGCAGGCAGTGGGATATTCACTGACTAACGGCAACCCAGGATGTGCTCATTACAGATTGGCCAGGGAGCATTTGAGTGGCCAAAATCCATGGAGGTCAGCCTCGATTTGTTTTGGGAGGATGGAGCAGGATTGGGCCCTGCTCCTGAGGAGTTCTGCCCATTGTCTGAAAAGCTTCAGGTTTGTCAATGAGTCATGCTGGCCTAAAACAATGGTCCAATTTTATTGGTAAGGAAGAAATAATCCAAATCTATATCACAATTTTAAAAACAGTAGAAAATGTCCGTAAAAACACAACCGTCGGCTCTCCTGCTTTTCCCAGGGAGGCCGTGATGATGGGATGCTCTGAAGAAGGGCGGGGGTGGGGGAAGGTTTAGGATACCTGATAAGAAGGCTGGACTGGGGACATAGAAATCGTACCGGGTTTTTACATGACAGGACAATGGGTTTTATCCCCGGCTGTGGCCACAAATGAAGGAGCATAGCAAATAATTTAAATACCAGGAGGGAGCTGGCAGCTCATGCAGATTGATCCAAACCAGTTTCGTAGGAAAACCTGCTCTTGAAGACGATCCCCTGACGAGAGAGTAAAGCCTTTGTTGCCACCGCTTGCAGTTGGGCCAGTGTCCATCGACTTCCGCTCTCTCCCAGGAAGGGCCAGACCAGGAGCTGCAGCTGGAGTGGCGCATTGGGTGAGGATGTGTGTGTGTGTGGGGGGGGGGGTTGTTCCTCCCTGGGAAGGCGCTGCTGCTGCTGCTGCGGAAGGGAGAGGGTGCTCTCATGTGGCC